CTCTCTCTCTCTCTCTCTCTCTCTCTCTCTCTCTCCCCTCCCTCTCTGTCTCTCTGTCCCTCTCTCATTTTTTCTCCCTTTTAATAAAACTTCATACTCAAGCTCCCTGCATGTGGCCAACTTTGTCACCCGCAGCGCTTTGGGCCCAACTTGCTATGGGGCGCTGCAAAGACCCCCTCTCTCACCGAATCTTATACCAACTGACATTACTTGATACTCTACTTGGAAGTGCTGAAAGGGAAAGTCACGGTGTGGTTCTGGATTGCCCATGCCCATTGAGTAGCAACTTGAGCATCTTTCTGGACTTGAATGCCAGTGTTTCTCAAGATCTGAGTCCTGATTCTTTGCCATTTCAGTGGGACTCTGCCAAATAAACCCTCCCCTGATATGTACCACACTTTAGACTGTGCCCTAGTGGGAAGTGCCCTTCCTCAGACACTGAGAACCAGGCTTTCTTTTCACACCAAGAGTATAAGAGACACTTGCTCAGTCTATATACTTGGAGATTCCTTTGTCCATCTATGTACTTTGAGACGCCTTTGGGTTACTAAATTGTATCCCAGTGTAAATCTAAACTAGATTATAATACTAATGAGAAGAGGACTGGGTCTTTCCCTGGAAACCCCACCCTAGCATGGTTTTCAACACCAATTGTTAAAGCCCAATAAGTACTTGTTGAGCAACAAAATTAGTGAGTCATATCCAAATAAGTAAATGTAGTACCTCCCAAAATGAACCCAGAAATGCTGGGGACTAAGGATCAAGAAAATATTCACTGCCACTGTATGACAATACAAACGAGACCAGCTCTTTTGTACAATTAGTATATGATCGTTTTAAACACTTAGTAAACAAAATGGAAATGATTCAGTTGAGCCAAAAAGGCAAAAAGGACCCAGCGCCTTCCATGTGTTAGAAGCTTGGTTAGCTCTCTGCCTCCAGTCCTTCCCATTCCTCTAGTAACAATAGCCTAGCCCTAGCAGATAACTGGAGAAGCTCGGGGGACTAGACCAGACCCAGGGAGGATGCGACCAAATGTGAATGTGGAGAAGACCACCCAATGCCAAACAACCAAAGCCCTGGACCCCCAGTGTCCTTGTTCCTCTGGAACTGGAAAGGTGAAGGGTGAAGTGAACAGCCCCATTAAGGAGGTAAGAAACTCTGTAAGCGTTAGTGCAGAGAACCCTCCCAGCTTAAAGAAGTCGGAGGACGGAGACAGCAGAAACAATCGTCAGATAAAGGACAAGGCTACTGAACCATATCAAGGGTTTGTTGTACATTTGAGCATCAATGGTAAAAATCTTTTCACAACCAATCCCAGGAGCCTGCTGAATGAAAAGGAGGACTTGACTACTCTTAGGTGTGGTCGAGAAGGTTTTCCTTGTAGGTACGAGGGAAAATACAGCCATCTGGAAGAGTCCAGACCGGGCACGGCCAGCAGAATAGACAGGACCGTGAGAAGAAAGAGAAAGGGGAAGAGTGAGAGACAAATAGAAGAGAGAGGATCAAGAGAGGGGATGGGGGGAGAACCAGGAGAAGCACACAAAGAGACCAAAAGTCAAAAACGACCAAGAGAGTGTATGACCAAACTGGCTGAATTACATAAGAAAGAGAAGCTGGGGAGAGGGAAGCAAAGCTCAGGAGCTGGGGAGGTTTAGGCTGGGAGCAGGACTGAGAAGTGTTGGGTGAGCCAGGACTCCATAACAGATACTTGCAATGCTAGGAGTGTCCACTGGGATATGGTACGAGGCACCTCAGCTAGTCATTTGTCCTGAGTTGCTTCTAGACTTAACCTACCCAGAAGAGAGCTTAGAGTGCCCAAGAATATAATTCAGTGGCTAAGATGCATCCACGCATTCAGTAAGCACAGTTGTGCAAAGTATGTCACACAATGCTAGATCTTGAAAGTAAAAAAAAAAATTATTAAGACTTAATCACTTCCTGTCATATATACCACGGAAGATATGACCATTAGGAACCAAAGATCATAGACAAGGTACCAAGGCACTCAAAATGGCACGTCAGAGAAGGTCTTTAGAAAACCTGACTCTCTTGGACCAATCCTGGGGATGGCAGGAAACAGCTAATTAGAAAGAATGTGGAATCTAGACCAGCCAGGGATGGGTTTAAAAATGCACAGCACCCAAGCTCCATGCTATGGCTGCTCTAAGAAAACTCCCTCGGAATCATGATTGTTTATCCTTAATTCAATCAGATCTGGAGAGCCCACTTCCATTGTGTAAGGGAATATATTCATAACCCCTGACAATTACAGTGGAGACTTCAATGAGGGACCATTCTATTTCCTACTACAAGAATAATTCTTGGTTTCTCTCTCTTCCACTTACCCCTACCCTTACCACAGCTACTCACTGCCAGTGCTGTTTAAACTGTCTTCAAAGTTATCACAACACCATCTAGCTCAGCCTTGACTTGGGTATGTTAACATCTCCCCCAAATTATTGTGGCTATCTTTCTAATGATTTCCCACACTGATTCTTAGTCTATCACCGGTTACTCTCCACACAGCAGCAACAAAACAACAACAACAAAAACAAACAAACAAGCTCCCTGCTTAAATTTCTCAATGGTTACCTTTCACGCTGAGAATCAAATTTCAAGTCTCCGCCCCAGACCAATACACCCTTTTATCAGCCACCTCCTGGCACACCACCATCCATACATCCTCCACTTCCTGGAAGGCACCACACTCTTCCTTCCAGCAATGGTTTGGTTATGGTTTGAGTGTGCTCCCCAAAGGTGCACGTGTTGGAAAGTTGATCACTGGTATGGCGGCGCTCAGAAGTAGTGGGACTCCTATGGGAACTGATTAGATCCTTGTGGACACCAACCACCCTCGAAAGGAACCAATGGAGAGCTCAGGAGATCTGGGTTAGCAGTCTGAGAGTACTGCTGTGGAAGACTGATCCGGAGAGACTGCTCAGTGACGAAGAGCTCTGGCTACTCTTCCAGAGGACCTGAGTTCAATTTCCAGCACTCATACGGCAGCTCCCGGCTGTCTGTTACTTCAGTGCCCAGGGATCTGGTACCTTCACACCAATGCACATAAAATAAAGTTAAATGTGGTCCCGATCACTCCCTTTTCTGACATTCCCTCCATGGCGCCATCTTCATGAGGTTCTTACGAAAACAGAGGACAATGCTCTGGTCTTGAACCTCCAGAACTGTTAGCTAAAACTAATCCTTTCATTAGAAAGTATCCAGTCTCTGG